AAGATGGGGACACCTGCTTAGCCAGCCAGATAAGCTGAACCAATCCTATGATCAGTGGGTGACACATGTCATAGCCAGATCTCGCTCACATTTTCATTCATTCAGTCATCTCTCATTCATTAAACACTCATGTGTCATGGCCGTGGTAGGCTTTAGAGATCCGAAGCCAAACAACAAGTGCATCCCAGCTCATCACAGCTCAGGCCAACAGAGCATGGTGGTAGACAGGTTCTCCAGCTGGAGTTCAATTTCTGGAGCCCACAGTAGAGGGAGAGAACCAACCCCTGCCAGCCTTTCTCTGGCCTCTACACACACACACTGGCATGCACCCACCACTGCCCCAATAACTAACTAACTATACATAAAAAGGTCCTCAGGTTGGTGTGTGGGCATGTTTTCTCATCTTCAGAGATTAAGGACAGTCCTTGTCGCATGGTCCCTTCCATCTTCACACCTAGCGACATTGCATCTGTCGATGCCTGTCTTCTGAAAATCTGTTTAAAAAATCTTCTAAAAAATCTCCCATCAGATTTTTAAAAAGTTCCTTGTGATTGCCTGGGACACATCTAGAAGATGGAGAACCTTCTCATGTCAGATTCAGCTGACTAGCAATTTGAATTCCATCTACATTTAATTCCTCTTTGCCATGTAACATCACACATTCAGGCATCCACACATTCTGGAGATTGGGATTTAGACATCTTGAGGTTATAGGAATGCCTTGTTCTGTTTTCCACAGGGAATAGGGCTTACACATGAAGACAACAGAGTTCTGGGAGGCAACTGATAGTGTGGGGCTATCAGAAGTAAAACTTGAAGCCCATGGCTACAACTCCTGCCCCGCTTTCCCCTCCGTATTGTCATCATCAAAATTAGGATTACAGAGTCTGGTGACTAAGTCAAGATATAAGAGCCCCATGAAGCCAGTGAACAAGATTACTCTCTCCTTAATGAGTTTTTCTTGTTTGACTTAAGGTATATGATTATATTTTATCCTAAAAGCAAATATAAAAACCGAACTGTTGTACATTACTGAGGTTTATATGCATTTTCCTCCCCACAAAAGACCAGTGTGCAATAATATAAACTATGTTTCCAGGTAGGGGCTATTTGCCAAACTTCCCTTTTATTCTCTTCTGTATTGTATGTACAGAGCAGCCTGCTTTTTTTTTTTTGTGGCATGCCCTTGTGTCAGAGGGCTTATGGAATTCTCAGAGCAAATTTCATTTACTTTCATGTTCAAAGGAAACATGTGCAGTGCCGTGCTTTTTAAAGGTGAAGTTTGTTGTAAAAGTGAACAATGGTGGGTTCATAGGCTGCCAAAGAGTTGGCAGATGGCCTCTGAACAAAGACTATATTACATCTGAACACTGCTGCCAGGAAGGGGACCGTCATTTATGGAGAGACTGTGTCCTGAGGCATGTGCTTCCACACAGAAGCAGAGGTGTGGCTGAAGGCAAAAATAACGTTTAAATTATTTACAACCCTAAAGATATGAAAGTCAAACTTGTGGGTTATTATTAAAGAGCGGCGTTGGTTCCAGTGCTGCTGCGGGCCATCTGGCTCCTGGCCTGTGTATGGAAGACTCATGCGTGGGAGAAGGAGAACCTGGATCCAAACCCTGCAGCGGCTGGAGTGGGGACAGGATCCCGAGGAGCTGGTTTGCTTTTATGATGTGCCATGAGCCAGGGGTGTGGAGACTCAGGCAAGAGGACTGGGAGTTCAAGACCAGTCTGGGTTACTTATCAAGACAAACAATAACACAGACTATCAGCACAGAAACTAAACATGAGTAGGGGGGGTCTCCTGCAGTCCAGGCTGGTCTTGACCTGATCTTCATACACCTATCTCCTGAGGGATAGGATTGTGTGTGTGTGTGTGTGTGTGTGTGTGTGTGAGAATGTGTTTTGTTCTCTAGTGCTAGGGATAGGGCTTGGGATCGCAGTCATGTTAAGAGAATGCTCTACTAACTGAGCTACATTGTCAGCCCCTGGACCGTAAGTCCTGAAGACGAATGGGTGAAAGCCAGGCATGGTAGCATGTGCTTATAATGCCTGTGTCGAGAAGATGGACACAGATGCTCTCTAAAGATCAGTGACCACAGTGACCAGCCAGTCTCAGCAGAGGCCCTGTGTCATAAGACAAGGTAGACAGCTTTGAGGACTGACATCTGATGTTTCTGCTGACCTTCTATTGCATGAACACACACACACACACACACACACACACACACACACACACACACACACGTCCAGGTTTTGCCTATGAAAACTTACTAGACCTTCCCATCTGGAAAGGCCAAGGTCTTCTGGGCTGTTACATTCCGCATTTGCAGACACCTGCTGCTGCTGCAGCCCAGCCAGACTTGGAGCTGAGGAAGATATGGAATTTGGTCCATGACTAATGCTTCCAATAAAACCGACTCCACTGATTTTGTCTGAGGAACACGTCAATAAACGATCATTTCTCTTAAAATAAGAAGGAAGAGAGGGAGAGAGAAATAGGGGAAAAAGAAAGGAAAATCTGAAAAAGAATTAAGGCCTGCCATCTTGTGGCAGTCAGGTGCCAGGAAAATCAACACGTAGTGGGAAGCTTTTTTTTTTTTAACTTGTTTCCTCCCACCAGCTTGGTCATATTAATAATTTTAGAATCTGAAAACCTAACACCCGCCTGTGACTGTCCTTGTCTAGACTGTTCAGTTTCTGATGCAAACGGCAGGAGGGGTTGTTGAGTCACTCACAGGCTCTGTCCATCTGTAGATTCACCCAAGCAGGACTGAAAATATTCTGGGAAAAATTGTCTATACTGAACATACATAGCTGTGTGTGTGTGTGTGTGTGTGTGTGTGTGTGTGCGCGCGCGCACGCGTGCATGTGTGTGTGCACGTATATCATCTGTCTGTCCTTCTGTCTGTATGTGCTTGCACACACACATACAGAGGTCAATGGTTGATGCTGGGTCTATTCCTCAGCCTCTCTCCACCTTACATTTTGAGACATGGTGGTTCTCTGGGTCTAGAGCTCACTGATTTAGCTGGGTTGGCTGGCCAGTGAACCCAGGGATCCTCTTGCCCCTTTCTCCCCAGTGTTGGGATTCTATAGGAATTGCCGCCACGCCTGGATTCTTTCTTTCTTTCTTTCTTTTTAATTTTTTTGATAGGGTTTTTTGGAGGCTGTCCTGGAACTCACTCTGTAGACCACGCTGGCCTCGAACTCACAGAGATCCACCTGTCTCTTCCTCCCGAGTGCTGAGATTAAAAGTGTGCACCACCAATGCCCGGCATGGATTTTCTTTCTTAATGTGATTTCTCAGCATAGAGCGCAGGTCCTCAAGTTTGTGCAGCAGCGACACACTATCACCTGAGCCACCCTCCCCCGCCCAACTTCTTTCCCTTGGTATTGTTCTCTAAACCAGCAGTTTTTGTCTTTTGCTTTGCTTTTTTTTTCTTCAAGACAGCCCTAGCTGTCCTGGAACTCACTTTGTAGACCAGGCTGGCCTTGAACTTACAGAGATCTTCCTGTCTCTGCCTCCTGAGTGCTGATATAAAAGGTGTGTGCCACCACCACCACCACCAAACTAAACCAGGACTTCTTAACTTTTCTTTACTTGCAATTCCTTTTTGCCCTCCAAATTTTTACCTCCAAATTCACCCCCAAATACATAAGTATATAAAACAGGTAAGCAAATGAAATGTTTTCTGTCACAATGAAATTTACTTTAAAACAGTTGGTTTTTGATGTAATTTTACCCTTATTAAAGAGAAAGGCAAATATACACACTAGTGAGATGGATGGGCTTATTTATGTTTACATAATAGTTAAGTCCTGGTTGATACACAGAACACAGCATCTTTGACGTTTTCAGAGCTTGACTTTTGATTTTATAATCATCAATGTTGAGCACCCTGCCTCACATAAATATAAAGTACAAAACAGCAGAAGGATGTTTAGGGCCATTTCAGAAATTGTTGGAAATTCTGTCCTAATCCCAAGTCAAAATCACTGACTGATATTTAATTTTTTTAAAGGAAACTCAAGTCAGCAACTCAAACAGCAGTTTTTAAATTCAGACATTCTAACACAACACTATATGAAAACATACTAATTTAACACTCCTATGAAAACATCAAGGCCTTGTGTACTGTAACTGAGCCATTCTATTTCAGCAAGGGCAGAAGACTTTGCATCTACACTAAAAACATGTAAACCCTAATACACAGTGGTCTCAGAGCTGAGCCAGTGTTTCCTGATGTGATGGCATTCACAGTGTAAAGTGTGCATACTCAGAAACAAGGCTGTGGGAAAGCCATGTTATGCAATGAGGGTGCCCATTGCTAAAACACCTCCTATTCATTGTGTACTTGACTTTAAGTTACTTCTTTTTTGTCAGTGCACATCCAGAAACATTTCACTCTTGCTAAATTTCCACAAGCTCCACATTCAGTTGTAGGGATTTGTGGGACCTCGGTTACCAGGCTGTGGCTCCCAAAAGGCTTGGGGGCACCCATATCTTTTTACCTTGCTTCCCTTATTCTTTCTCATTTCCTCTGCTTGCCTTCTCTCCTTTTCTTTCCTTTGGTCTTCCTCCCATCTATTCTCGAAGTTCATTTTCACTGCATTTCCCTGTCTTATGTCGTCTTTTTCTTTCCTCCATCCCTCCCTCCCCTTCCTTCCTTCCTTTCTCATGCTATAATCTCCATGACCACTTTCCTTGTCTCCTCTCCATTTTCTTTTATTTCTGCCTCTCTCCTGCCTTTATGATCTCACGCCTGGAGGCCAATATGTTCAGCAGAGGTCTGTGGCTCTCTCTCTGGCTATCTAGATATATATAAATACTTATTCAGTTTGCTTCAGAAGATGCTTTAACTGTCACTCTTGATGCCGTGTCACTAAAATCTTTGGGTTTGGAAATGGAGACCTCAGACAGGCACAGAACCCAGTTTGGGAAACCTTATTGAGCACTTTGACTGCATGAATACAGTGTAATTCTCCCTTCTCTAGTTCCTGCCTTTATAACTAGCTCTGCATTCAACAAGAAGAGAGCAATACAAGCCACATCTCCACAGTGGTCTACACACACCGAAGATGCCGGGTAATGGTTGCTTTAAAACTACTGTTGCGTTTTCCCTTCCTTCCCTCCTTCCTTCCTTCCTCCGTCCCTCCTTCCTTCCCTCCCTCCCTCCCCCTTCTCCCATTTTGGTTTTTGAGACAGGGTTTCTCTGTGTAGTCCTGGGTGTCCCGGAACTAACTCTGTAGACTAGGCTGGCCTCTAACTCACACAGATCCGCCTGTCTGGGATGAAAGGAGTACACTACTATGCCCAACAGCTTCTGAGAGTCTTCATGAACTGTTTTGTGAATTTGAAAGTTGACACACTTTCTTTCATTCAGAGGGCTTCCCATTGATACTGCATGCACAGGCTGGAAGGCATGTCCGTGCTCACCCGAGTCTGCTCTTCCATCAGAGAAGGGGACCTAACAGCCACTTGTTCAGATCCCCATGCTGCTTACTATCGATGAGTCATTGAACGTCAGACTTTTATCCTTAGAAAAGTTACAGTATGGAGTTGAGCATGGTGGTGCACACTTGTAATCCTCACATTTGGGGTGTGGGGTGGAGTTAAGTGGATCAGGAATGCATGGCCAGCCTCAACTACAGTGTTGGTTTTGAGGCCAGTATGAGCTATGTGAACCCTTATCTCAGTCTCGAGTATGTGTGTATGTAAGTATGCATGCTGGGCAGTGACACATTTGTAATGTCATCACTTACAAGATTGAGGCAAGAGGATTGTTACGAGATCAACCTGGGCTACTCAGTAAAACCTTGCCTCAAAAAGTAAAGAGTGAATAATCTTTGCTACATGGGGTTGACATGGCTCCTTAAGACTTCCTACACTATTGCCACTTCTAAGTATAGTGACCTCTCGACTTCTTTTGCTCCAGATACTGTATGGAGTTCAAGACAGAGTCTCTGACTCCTCATTGTGCCCTGGACAACCGACCCCTGACTCGATGGATGCAGTATCTCCGAGAGGGATACACTGTGTGTGTGGACTGTCAGCCTCCAGCTATGAATTCTGTGAGCCTGCGTTGTTCTGGAGATGGCCTGGATTCTGATGGGTAAGAAAGGACACTGACTGACGGGCTTTTCTGCTCCCTGAGGACCCATCCTCTGTGTCCTAAAGCGATGAGCAGCGTGCAGCCTATCAACACAGAATGTGGGCAGTGAGGAGAACCTGTCCAGGACCCGAATGCAGGGCTTTGGTTCTCATTTAAGGGACCCAGAAGCTCTCTGCATGAGAAATACACAGGCCAGTTTTGTTATTGGCTTCATTTCAGATGAAGTTCCCCAAAGGCTACCAAAACCCTGCTCACTCCAAGGGTACTATATAGACTCCTGAATCCGAATCTTTTGGATTGGAGAATTAGAACATGCACATTCTTGGCCCCACTTCTTAGGACCAAATGAACCAGAGTTTTAGTAATCTCTTAGGTCTGGACCTGAAACTTCTCCTATAAAACATCAGAAAGCAGTTATTTTTGGCTTTTCATCCAATACATCATTTGTCATAACTACCATACTTTAATATTGGCCAGGAGAACAGCCACTGATACTGTTTAAACCTTGGCTTTGTTCTAACAGACCTTATTTGTGAACACCAAAATTCACGTTTTGTATGATTTTCATGTGTTGTGAAATATTACTCTTTTGGTTCTTCCTTAACTCTTGGTTGCTGTTTGAGATAGGATCCCACTCTAACCAGGGTGGCCTGGAACTCACGGCAGCCCTCCAGAATCGCCTCCAAAATACTGGATTAGAAACGTAGACTAGCATACCGGCTTCCTTCCACTCTTAAAAACATAAAAGCTGTGGCTGGAGAGACGGCTTAGCAGTTAAGAGTTTGTGCTGCTTTTTCAGAGGACCTGAGTTCAGTTCTCAGCACCGAGGTTGGGCGGCCACCACTGCTGGCAACTGCAGCTCGGCTCTTTGGGTTCCTGAAAGACCCCCACACATGTGCGTATACGATAAAACAACTACAATCTAAAAAATAAATAGCATTCATCCTTAACTCACAAGTGCCACTCAAAAGAAGGGGTGGGCAAATAAGGCATCATACTATGCCAGTCCACCCCAGGTGATTCTGACCCCGGGGATGTTCCAGCGCTGCTGTGCTTGAGGTGGGTTTTCTGAGAGGAGCAACTGCAGACACTGTGTCTCCCCGCAAGCCTCTCCCACTAAATGCCATTCACAGCTAGGAGACGGATCACTGGGACCACTATGGGCAAGGACCAATTTAGTCACACACAGCATGTAAGGTGTAACTGGTAAAAATAGATTAAAAGTAAAACACTGACCTTTCCAGTTAATCGTTATTCCCGTAATGTTTTAATATTTAATAATTCGGTTCATGTTTATTAGTCGCTTGTGCCTAGCAGTCTTTATCGAGTTCACCATGTGAGCAATAAAGTAGGTAAGGAATTCATATCAAATGAAACCCAGTATTTAGATTTGATGTTTTTCTGAATACCTCATCTCCATTATGACTTTAAATGAATTTATAATTCAGTTTGTACCCAATAAAGAAAGCACTAAAACACTGGTTACTATATGAATGACTTAATAAATAATATTTTAATTCTCTGGCTTTGCTTTCTGTACTTCTTTCATTTTTCATTATGAAATCAAAGAGTTGGAACAGATGAAAATGGTCATTTGGTTAGACCCTCCTTACTAAAACATACCCAACACACTATTGTCCTGTGTGCAGTACATGCATCCACTCGGGAGAAAAGGACGAGGAAACACCCAAACCATTCTCTGAACCTAAGTGCCCTTGAATAGGGATTAACTCGTAACTCACATTGACAGAACCCCAGAAAGAGAAATCTTTGTGACTATAAAAGAGGGTGTAGGGGGTAGAGACGGCTCTGTGGTTAAGAGCACTGGATGCTCTTCCAGAGGATCCAGTTTTGATTCCCAGCACCCACATGGCAGTTCAAATCCATTTGTAAATCCAGTTCCAGGGGGATCCAATGCCCACTTCTGGCCCCCACAGGCATACATTTGGGCAAAACACATAAATACACATAAAATAAAAAGTGAATAATTTAAAAAGCTGATTTGTAATATACTTTGAAACTGGGATTGCTATCTTAGTTATAGTTTCTATAGCTGTGATAAAACACTATGATCAAAAGCAGTTTGGGAAGGAAAGGGTTTATTTAACTTTACAGTTTGTAAGTCTATCACCTAGGGAAGTCAGGGCAGGAACCTGGAGGCAGGAACTGGAGCGGAGGCCATGGAAGGGTGCTGCTTACTGGTTTGCTCCCCATGGCTTGCTCAGCTTTTCTTAGAGCATCCAGGGCCATCAGCTTAGGGACGGCACTGCCCACAGTGAGCTGGACCCTCTCACATCAAGCATCAACTTTCAAAATGTACCATAGGCTTGCCCACTGGCCAATCTGGTGGGGATCATTTTCTCAATTGAGGTTCCCTCTTCTTGGATGGCTCTAGCTTGTGTAAGATTGACATTCTACTAGTCAGCATATTGTCTTTAAAATCAACAACAAACAATAAAACAGTAGGGCTGGCTCTTGGTACTCTTGTAGAGGATCTAGGTTCAGTTTCCAGCACCCACACAGGGACTAACAACCCAGCTCCAGGGGATCAAGTACCCTCTTCTGGCCCCTGTGGTCACTAGGCCTGCATACAGCACACTCACATGTGTCTGGGCACAACAACCATACACACAAATAAGAATACACAGATCTTTTTAAAAACATAACTGTGGAGATTAGAATTTCCTTTGGTTTGCTTTTAGTATAACCTACATTTCTGCAATATCGTTTCAGAAATCAGAGTCTTCGCTGGCAAGCCATTGGCAATCCTCGATGTCAGGGGACCTGGAAGAAAGTGCGGCGAGTAGAGCATTGCTCCTGTCCAGAAGTGCACCACTTCATTTTCATATAGAGCAGCTGGGAGCCACCCGCGTGCGTTCACCAGCGGGCACAGCATTGCTGAGTTCAACACTCCACAAGCCTCCAAAACTATGCCAAGTCCCGGGCACCCTCCATTGCCATGCTTTGCCTCTGAGAAAGAAAACTTAGGGATAGTTCCCAAGGTTCACAACCTTTTTGCCTTTATTTTTACTGAGTTAAGGACCCATACTACAGGCTCTGTGGCCTATGACCTTGACCTTACATTTGGCCACAGAATATGTGTCTGTTTGTACTAGAATCACTACCATGGGCTCCAGTTTGGGGTAAGTTCTTGTTTAAGGGCATCTACAAATTCTTTGTCTTTATTGGTGCTTTGTTTTAAATTAAAGACAGGGTCTCACTATGTAGCCTAGAACTTACTATGCAGACCAGACTGGCCTGATTCATATATTCACTGCCTCTGCCTTGTGAGTGTTGGGACTACAGTGTCCCACTACACCCATGCTGGCTTTTCTTTGTCCTTCATTTTTTCATTTTGGAGTGGGGAGGGGTGGGGTTTCTGTGTAGCCTGGCTGTCCTGGAACTCATTCTGTACAGCAGGGTGGTGTTGAACTCAGAAATCCACCTGTGTCTGCCTCCCAAGTGCTGGGATAAAAGACATGCACTGCCCATTCTTAAAAGCTTCTCACTTGCCGGGCGGTGGTGGCGCACACCTTTAATCCCAGCACTCGGGAGGCAGAGGCAGGTGGATTTCTGTGAGTTCGAGGCTGGGCTGGACCGATAGCCTCCAAAACAATACAGAGAAACCCTGTCTCGAAAAACCAAAAAAAAAAAAAAAAAAAAAAAAAAAAGCTTCTCACTTCAAAAAATATACATATATGTGACTCTCACACATCAAGTTCCTATATATTAACTTACAAGTAAATAGTCACAAATAATTTTCCACAGGGAGTTGTTAAAATTTCTCTTGGTGTTTTGTAATGAAAAGTCAATGCCCATGCTAAAAAAAAGTTTAAAAGAAGAAATTTTCTTTCGTTAGTTGAAAAGATCAAATATCCATGGGAATTGCTTAAAGTGCTAAACTTCTCCTGAAATTTTGGCACCAATGAATGAGCCAAATGCCTTAATTATAAGCCGTCTACCATCATTCATATGTAAGATTGTTTCCAATGTTTAGTACCTGAAGCAGAATAAAACAATCTTTTAATGTCCAACTTCAGCACATGTTTGGGGTGAGAGGTAGCGGTACATATGATAGGAGGCACTGACCTCGCTGAAGATGTTATGCTCTCACACACAGGCAATAAAATATTAGCTTCACCTTATGGTTGGAAGATAGGTGAGTTTGTAGTCAAATGGCACGGTGTACATCCAGATCTAGGATGGCAAGCTATTCTGCAGTCATCTGCTCCAGGTTCCCCATCCAAGACTCTACTTCAGTAAAGATCACTCTGAGTACGCCCAAGACTCCAGTACAGGACCTCAGCCTGGTTTCCTTTTGAAGGAGGTTTTAAATTGAAGATATTTTCTTTGAAAAATGGAATCAATATTTAAAAGGTATTAAATCCTTTGGTGAATTGAATTGCATAATTATTCACTAACATGGTCACCTAAAATATGCATTTTTTTGGCACTGATCATGTAACAAGAGGCCAGTAGCAAGCTTAAAGGGGTGGGAAATGCCTCCAATAGTATTTGTGACTATATTTTTATTTAACTGCCAAGCTTGTTTTCATGGAAAATTAATAAAAACATAACCCTTGAATTTTGGGGCTGCAGAAATGGCTCACAGTTAAGAGAGTGATCATTACTCCTGGAGAGGCCTGAAGTTTGATTCCCAGCACCCATGAAGGATGGCTTATAACAAACATCCTATAGCTCTGGGATGTTTGGTTGGGCACTCAGGCGTAAGTAGCCAGTTAAGTGTATTGAAAGAGTCATGCAACTTTTAGGTCTAGGTGAGGAATACAGCTTACTTCTCCTTCCCAAATAAATTACGCAGACAACACAGGTGAGAAGATGGGGAGGCAGTCTCAACTCAGTAACTTTGAATGTATCTTTTCCCCCCTTTGAGACAAGGTCTCGTGCAACTCAAACTGGCCTGGAACTCACTGTTTAGCTGAGGACAACCTTGGTCCGATTCCTCCCCCTGCATCTCAGGTGCTAGCATTACAAGTGTGCATCCTCACTCTGATGTTTTGGTATGGAGGGTTGAACCTAAGACGTTATGCATGCTAGGAAAGCACCCTAGCAACCTGGGACACACGTTTCAAAGATTGAAGGAGAACAAGATTTTACTGATGGATAAACAAGAGCTGGATGAGGTGGCAGGAACTTCATTTTATATCATTCAGAGAAGATGGAATCAGCATCGAGCAGCTTTCTTCCCAAAGGTAGGAGGTCTCAGATCCTGTTCACTGAGAGAAAACTTGGCCACCTAGAGAAGAACAAGACCCTTGCGGAGGCAGACTTTCTTCAGCATCAGTAGTGTTGAAAATCGAACAACAAAACCTCTAAGCTCTGAGAGAAAATAAACTTGAAGCCAGCTGTCTGTCCAGGAGTCACTGACTAAGCACGAAGGCTCACCTCAGCCTTCTAGACAGATGAGGTTTCAGATGCACTTCCTTATTAAAAGCGCCTCCCTCTTCCTCACAGAGTGAATTTTTGAAGAGACAGAAAGGGGAAGACACAAACATAAGGCAGTCAAAGGATCAGAGAAGCCCGTCATCAGGCATTGGGAGCTCGTAAGGCCCACCGAGGGCCTGGCTCATTGGTTTTCTCTAAGGTGCATCACGCCAGACACAGAACAAAGTCCAGGATATCAAATCACAGAAGAATACAAAATATTTTAGACAGAAAAGTATGGTTCATATGTATAGGATCAGTAATTACAACAGTGTAGGTCACTTTATAATGTAACATTTGACAACAGTGATACCTTTGAAATTCAGAGAGGAAATATTTCTCAAAATAAAATTCTATATCCAATAAAATTATTTACCACATACAAGGAAAAAACAAAGGTATTTTTTAGACAGGAAGAGCACAAAAACTACTCTATGCCCCTTTTCTGGGAGGGCATCAGAGGGGTGCTCGGTCTAGACTGGAGTGGAGTGTAGACTAAGCAAGACTACCAGAGAATAGCGAACACTCCCCGGAAAGACAAATGGGATTGTCAGGGTAGAGGGGCAGCCCAGACCAGGCTACCCACAGCCAGGAGAGCCAGACTACCTGGAGGCAGGACAAGAAGACAGTGCAGTGGCAGAACGCCCATTACATGGTAGCAGGTTTGATTAGAGGAACTGGAGATATGGAAATTACAGACACACAGAAGCTATACAGAGCAGGTGTAACAACAGCCATAGAATTATGATATAACCATTACATCATTACACAAAACAATGAAAAAGTCATGACTATTCATTTAGTATAAAGACAAATGCTGGACAGTGGAGACTCACAGGTATGGCGAGGAGTGGAGGCAGTGTGTGTGGGGGCCCGGGGCAGGGGCAGGGACAGGGCATAGACGGGTGTAAGGATTTGGGGACCTGGGAGTAGAGGCTAGGGTATAGATGGGCATAAGTGTGTGTGTGGCTGGGGTACAGATGAGGGTAAATGTGTGGGGGGCTGGGAGTAGGGGCTAGGGTATAGATGGGCATAAGTGTGTGTGTGGGCTGGGGCATAGATGAGGGTAAATGTGTGGGGGGCTGGGAGTAGGGGCGGAGGAATAGACGGGTGTAATTTTGTGGGGTCTAGGGGTATAGACAATTGTAAATTTATGGGCATTTGGGGGAAGGGGCTGGGGTATAGATAGGTGTAACATACAAGAAACCTAACACTTGTTCCTATAGCGCAGTGGCTCTCAACCTTCCTAACGCTAACCTTTAACACAGTTCCTTGTGCGGTGTAACATACAAGAAACCTAACACTTGTTCCTATAGCGCAGTGGTTCTCAACCTTCCTAACGCTACTACCCTTTAACACAGTTCCTCATGTGGTGACTTCATGACCATAATTCTGCTACTGCTGTGAATTGTAATGTAAATATCTGTGCTTTCCAATGGTGACTGTGATAGGGTCATTCGACCACCCAAGGGTCATGACCCACAGGTTAAGAACCACGGCTATGACAAAAAGGCAGCCCACAGAATGGGAAAAGATATTCACTAACCCCACATCTGACAGAGGGCTGATCTCCAAAATTTACAAAGAACTCAAGAAGCAAGTCTCCAAAAACACCTAAGGATCCAATTAAAAAGTGGGCTACAGAACTAAATAGAGAATTCTCAATAGAGGAGTCTAAAATGGCTGAGAGGCACTTGAGAAAGTGCTCAACATCCTTAGCCATCCGGGAAATGCAAATCAAAACAACTCTGAGATACCATCTCACTCCTGTCAGAATGGCTAAAATCAAAACCACCAACGACAATTTATGCTGGAGAGGATGTGGTGAAAGGGGAACACTCCTCCACTGCTGGTGGGAGTGCCAACTCATTCAGCCACTTTGGAAAGCAGTATGGAGATTCCTCAGGAAAATGGGAATCAATCTACCACAAGACCCAGCAACTCCACTCTTAGGCATATACCCAAAAGATTCACACTCATACAACAAGGACATCTGTTCCACTGTATTCATAGCAGCATTATTTGTAATAGCCAGAACTTGGAAGCACTCTAGATGCCCCTCAACTGAAGAGTGGATAGAGAAAATGTGGTACATTTACACAATGGAGTACTATTCAGCAGAAAAAAACAATGGAATCCTGAAAATTGCAGGCAAATGGATGGCACTAGAAGAAACCACCCTGAGTAAGGTAACCCAGTCACAAAAAGAGAAAACATGGCATGTATTCTCTCACATATGGATTTTAGACATAGTTCTGGGGAGTGCCAGCCTACAATCCCATGGCCAGATAGTCTGAGAAACAGAACCTTCATTCAATGGCTGATGGAAGCAGAGGCAGGCTCCCACAGCTAAATACTGAACCGAACTCAAGGAATCCAGTGACAGAGAGGGAGGACTGATGATCATAGGGGTCAAGACTGGGCTTGTTTAACCCCCAGAAACAGCTGATCTGAACAAGGGTTAACTCTTGAATCCCAGGCTGATGGCTGGGAATCCAGCATGGGACTGATCAAGAACCCCTGAATGTGGGTGTCAGTGAGGAGGCCTAGGCAATCTATGGGGCCTTGGGTAGTAAATCAGTATTTATCCCGGGTATACAAATGGACTTTGGACTCCCATCCAACAATGAGAGATGCACTCTCACCCTGGACTCTCGGGGGAGGTTCTAGGCCCTGCCCTGTATGAAATGAAAGACTCTGGACACCCCATGGAGGGCCTCACCCTCCCTGGGGAAATGAGACGATATTGAAGGAGTTGGTGGGAGGGAGGGTATGGGAGGAGGGGAGGGAAAGGGAGAGGGACCTGGAATTGACATGTGAAGCAACCTTGTTTCTAATTTAAATTTAAATAAAAAAAATCGCACCTATAATGAGAGGTTAATAAAAACAACAGAAAAGCATGAACACATTTTTAAAAATAAGTATTAAAATATCTAAGAAAAAATGAAAATGGTTGAGAAGAGCCACTTGTAGGGAATACTGAAAGTTGGTGGAAGGGATCTTCATTTTTAAGTTATGGCAAGCAATTTTAATTTTAAAATTATGAAGATGTATTATTTTCATAAGAATAAAAATAAAAGCTTCAGAAAGAAATTGTAAATAAAAGTATCAAAATACAACTTGAGCTCAACATGGTATGATTTTGAGCTTCCAAGAATGGGGCGACAACAAAAAGAGAATGTACGATTGACCTTGGCAGTTGTATTGGTCACATTTCTTGTTCCCATCACAACTGACTTACAGAGAGCATTGTTCTGGCTGAGGTTTGGAGATCTCAAGTACCTGAGTCGTTGATCCTGGGCATGTGTGAGATAGCATCAAGCCAGTGAGAGCACGTGTCAGAGGACACTCAACTCAGGGACAGGGAGAGGAAGGGAGGGACAAGGAGAGAGAGGGAGGGAGGGACAGGGAGAGGGAGAGGAAGAGGAAGGGAGGGTCAAGGGGAGGGAGGGACCAGGAATCAGCTGTAACCTTCAAAGGCTCAGCCCCAGGAGCTTGCTTCCTCCAGTTAGGCCCACTTCCTAGTATCTACATCACCTCCCAAACAGCACTGTCGGCTGGGGACCTAGGCCCAGAAATCATGAACCAG